GTGCTGAGGGAAGAACTTGACATTTCTGCCCTCCAAGCCTCAGCTGGAGAAGCTGCCTGCTCTTTCTGCTGTCATGCAGTAAAGAAAAGGTGACAAAGAGCCTCAAAAACCAGCAAGTAAGAGGCCTACAAATGGCTAAATGTTATCATCAGACAGCCTGGTGGCCACCACTCCCTGCTTCCATTACTGGGGCCTGACACATGTGAAGTGGTGATTCTGGAGTATAGTTCGGCTCCACAGAACCAAATTTTCTAGTGCAAGGTCACTCTCAGGTCAAATCTTGAGGGGACAACAAAGACAGCGACTTGGACCCATCTCAGTGTCATACCCTTTATCCAGCTTATCAGCCCTAGAGCTGACACCACCTGGTTCTTGCTCCCACTTCTCAATTGGTTCAAAACTTGGGAAGATTTGAGTGAAAAGACTGATGATGACTCTCATGGCCACAACCTTTGCAGCCATCACACAGGTCATAATGACTCGTTCTCTCCTCCACAGTGTGGGCAGATGGACGCTGCGCCATGATCTTTACATACATCAACAGGGAGTCCATAGCCAACGACTTTTCCAAAACCTATCATGCGTCACAATTCATTAGCTCACTTGGAGATAGAAGGCTGGTGGTCAGTGAGATGTTCCCAAACACCTGAAGGAAGAGAGAGGAGTATAGATAGCCACACCTGAGCAACTCCTGGACATTGGGCACTTGGCTCATGTTGGAAAAAGACCTTGATTGATAGCAGAACATCCTCCAGCAGACCCACACCAGGTCAGAAATGTTAGGTGATGTAAAAGGGCTGGGAGCTGTCACCTTGGCCTGTGCAGAGCCCCAGCACATGACAAAAACCAGTGTATGGTCTCCTGAGTCCTACAGTCATATGCTGTGCAGATAGAGGGTGTCAGGGAGTCGGCACAGTGGCCTTCAAAGAGGGCCGGAGATAGAGATGCCCTTGTGCTGAGCTACAGAAACAGAGACACCAAGTCACTGTGATCAACCCACCTGGATGCCCACCAGCACATTGGCCTCAGATGAATCTTTAGCTCTCTGAGTCCCAGGACAAATTAGTACCCCTGAAAGATCCTTCTAGGGGTCTCCTTGTGCCCAGAACCTCATGAGATCCTCAGAGAAATTTCCAGACACTAGTACATGTGTTCCTGAATCCGCCCTCTCCATTCATGCTAGAAAAAAGCAAGACATAGGAACAGAAAGGCCCAGAAGGCAAGGGTGCAGCTGCTCCCATCCCCCCGAAAACACCAGAAAGTACTGCAGTGCTTGCTAGCCTCAACATCCAACTTTGGCTTGGAGATTTGCATTTGCAGTGACAGTAACACATTCCCAGGAGGAGGCTACTCCTTGCCAGTCAGCCTCATCTCTGATGTGAGCACAACCATCCTCTCCTGACCCCTGGGACAAAAACACAAATACTGTCTCCAGTGGTTGTGGTCAGCAGGCTCTGGCCTCATGGCCCATCATAATTCGCCACCAAGTACTTCAGAGAAGCCAGAAGTATAGCAAGCTGAGTCCCATGGGACCCTTCTCTTCCCTATGCCACCCTTCCCCTACTAAGCACAGCCATTCCTACAGGGGATTCCAGGGGCTGCAAGGTTAGGCAGGTGGCCTATGGCTCATGCTGCTCCTGACTATGAGTTCTGGAGATCTGAGGTCCCAGGAAAATGGAAGAGCCCACAAAAGCCTGACAAGTAATGGGGGATGAGCATTTCAATTTAGAGAATTAGGACAGCAAAGACCACAACAAAAATTGATCACTGGTCATATCCCCTTTTTAAACTCTCCAAGTTGTAACTGTAATAAGTCCTGCAAGGGACCTCCACTCTACAAAACATAAACAAACCTTAAAGTCAGCTTCTTGGGCTTTACTGTCCATCATTTTCCTACAGCAGAAACACCACAGGTCAGCCGCCATCCGGGAGTCAACTACTACACAGGGCTCAAGGGAGTTCCACACTTAGAGGCAAAAGATAACTCCAGAACTCATCTGGTCCATCATCTGCCTCTAGAAGGAAAGGCAAAATTTATTAAGAAACCAGCCCAAGAGCCTTGGGAATGGGTCGAGGGAAAACTGGGCTTGCCAACCCTGAAGACTCCATGGGCAACTCAGGCGCCTGGCCAGGATAATGTCAGTGTTGTGTGAAACACATGTGATCTGAGCTGAGTCCAAATGAATTGTAACAAGAGGGCCAAAGCAAAGTAACTTAGATATCAAACAAATCAAAGGAAACTGATACTGTGCATGAAAAGCTGGCTTGGCCTTTTTTAGCCTGGCTAGGGAGACAGCCCCAGCCCTGTTCAGAGTTACTGGCCTCCTCCTTTCTACTCTCAGACCTGAATTTGCCTCTAATTTGAAAGAGCTAATTAAAACCAAAAGAAAATCAAAAGCTTGTTATCTGGCTCCATTACTCTCAGTCCTGGCATTAGTCTGTCTTGCAAAGCTGTGTTCCCTCTATTCTCTCCAAGGCTACCATGCGGTGTTAGGACCTGCAGTGCTGCAGACTTCCATGATGAACTTGGCTTTTTGTATTGTGGCAGGGAACAAGGGCAAGACAAACACCTGCCCATGGCAAGCAGATAAATCCCTGCAGATGTTCTTGCTCCCAAAAGCATAGGCTGAAAGACAGAGTTTGAGCAAGTTTTCCATAGGAAAGTATCAGAGATTGCCAACCCCTCTGATCTCAAAAGAATTAGTTGTTTAGAGAGTTCACGGCATAAACTTACCATTTTCTAACATAGGTTGCACATGCACACAGTGGCAGGGGTATTTAATGTATGTATGCAAGTATGTATATGTGTGTGTCTATATGTGTGTGTACCTCATAGGCAAGGAGGACTTTTCTCCAAGTGCTTACTCTGCCACACACTCACAGAATCTGTGACCTTGGGCAATTCATTCACCTTGTAGTGTCTCAAGGAGCTCAAATGCAAAATTAAGGCTTAAATCAGTTTATGGTTTGAATGTCCATCCCCTCTCAAATTCAGGTTGTAATTTAATTGCCTTTGTGACAGTATTAAGAGGCAGGATATTTAAGAGGTGATTAGGCCATGAGGGCTGTTCCCTCCTGAGTGGATTAATTCTGTTATCATGAGAATGGACCAAGGACAAGTTCAGGTCTCTCTTGTTTTATATTTCCCCTTTCTTTGTCCTTCACCATGTGATACCCACTACCATGATATGATGAAGGAAGAAGGCCGTCACCAGATGCAAAAACACTAATCTTGGACTTTCCAGCCATCAGGACTATGTGAAATAAATTTCTGTTCATTATAAATTGCCCACTGTCACTGCTCTACCTGGATCTTCTCCATACCAACATTCTGATGTACCTTCCCATGGACCTGTGTTTGAGTGTGTAACATACAGACAATGGCCTGTCATTGACTGTCTTTATCTGAGAGCAGTTCATGCCTCCCCAAGTTCATAACCCTGTGTCGTAGACCCCCTTGAGTAGATCAGCCACTATCCCAAACAAAGGACTCCAGGAGACATTCCCAAAGGTTAAATTGGCTCAGCAAATGGCAGAGTTCCCTAAATTTTCTTGCCTGGCTCTTATTTGTCCATTTGTTACTTCCCTATCCGGTCCATGTTACCTCTTCCATTAGGTGTCTCCTGACTTTTAAGACCTCCAAGGAGGAATGGGATCTTTTCATTTCAGCCCAGATACCTAGGAATCTTGCCCCCAGAAACAGCCTGAGCCTACATGTCAAGGCACAGTGACAAGCTTTGGTGTTTTCTCTTCCCTCTTCATTACCACACCCTAAATCTCAAATGCCAGAGGAATGCTCTCATTCACCATGTCATGAGTAAAGAGGGTACCTGTGTCCTCTGAGGTATGCTTGATAATTTATGAAGGGAAACTTTCACTTTTTAAATTAACCAAAATGCATTTCCCTCATGGAAGTCCACTGAAGTCTGCATATGAGTCAAGATCACATCAGGACAAATTAATATTTCTATCTGATGGGTAAATTTTTCCTTTCTTCTCCTCAAATTAAGCAGTCACAAGATAAACTGCAAACTAGGTTCATAATTTTTTAAAAAAATGGAAAGTCAAGTACTGATGGCATAGACGATGCCAATAGCTGGACCTTCCAAGTCACTTGAAGAATGATTGTGGCCAATAGAATGGTACACTTTGGAAGATGAGTAGAAGTTAAGCCCAGAAAAGCATATGCTCTTCACACTGGGTCACAAGTGAGCAGGGCTGGAGAGGCAGGAAGCTGTGTTGTACATTCTACTTGAGGTCACTCTGTCCCTCAGGCCCTTGAGGTCTGTCTGTCCCTCAGGCCCTTAAGCCAAGGGAAAGCCCCGGAACCAACCCTCCATTCCCCTTTCTGTGTTTCAACAGCACTTTTGTCACCTAGGGCTGCTCTCTGGCTGCTTCCTGACCTTGTGATACTTCTTTTCCATAGCACCATCCACACAAAAGATGCTTAATAAACATAGTTCACCTCTTCCTATTTTCTGCTGTCAATATTCCATTTCGTACAGATTAAAAAAGGAGCTGAAATTGTAACTCTCCTGAAATCCCACATCCACCCCAAATGTGGAATGACTTCTCCCCTCCCCACTCCTCCATGGCTTTATTCTAACCTCTCAGGAAAGTGACTTACAGGCTTGGTCCATTAGAAAGGTAAGCACATGTTTTGTGCTATGGCACAAGGTCGTCCAGGCTTTACTGTCTTGTTCCTCGGACATCTCTACACACATTCCCACCATTCCCAGCACTCCCTCTTGTTGACAGTGAGCCAATATGAAACAGAAAACAGTACATCAATGGGAAATGGACATTTCAGCTCTGGCTCTGACTCTTACACACTCAGGATGGTTTGGCAGTGATAGTGTGAGTCCAGTGAGACCTAAGATGGGATGTACTCAGCCCATCCACAAAAAGGGAAGGCTGATACACACCTCACAGAGGCTATAAGGCCAGGGTACCGATGGTCCACAACCCAGCATCCCACCCATATGGCCTCCCCAACTCACCGCACTGCTGCAGGGGATGTCCTTCACCTTAAGCCAGGCTAGGTCCAGTGTGCCCTCACCCCGGTAGCAAGATTGTAACCGCTCCTTAATGCGGTCATTGATCTGCTTTAAGATGAAGATACATAGGGCTGACTCATCCAGAGACTTCATTTTCCGCTTCTGGCCCTTTGAGAAGACAGTGTAGAGGAGGTCATCCTCTGGATGAACTCCCAGGGTCCTGCCAAGCACAGCGCCAGCTTTGGACAGGAAGGCAGCCTGAAGCAAGCGGTACTCAACCCCACTGCGCTCACAGCCAATGGGTACCTCTACATAAGAGTTGAAGGCCGTGTCCTCTTTGCAAAGTCTCACAAGCTTGGATGTGTACACCTGTTCCTTTGTTGTGGAGCCTGGGGGAGACACCATCTCAGGCTGCAGCGTCAAAAAGTATACAAAGTTGCCACTGCTGAAACCATAGACATAATAGATATCGAAATCAGGGATGACTGTGAAGGTGTCCGAAGGGATCTTAATCATTGAGGCCACAAACTCATCATGGAAGACATAAGCGAACATACCATCTGCCTCAGAGTTTTTAGTCAACTTCCGGCTAGAGATGGTAGGAAAATACTCAGGCTTTCCATCCACTGCTGTGGCAATGAAGAGTTTGTCATCCAGGTTACTGTAGGAGACGATCACCCCAAAAACTGAGCCACTCTCATTAACCCCTGACAGGTAGTGCTCCTTCTTGTGAAAGGGCTCCCCCAGCTTGAAAAGGTCCTCCAGCCTCAGGAGCTTACAGATGCCCTGGTACAGGCTCCCACATGCAATCAGCCTGTTCTCCTTGTAGTCTATGAGGAGCATCTTGTTGACATTGTTGGTGCTGGTCAGGGGCTCATTGCAGGTCTGGACAATGCGGGGTGGGTAGCACTTGGGGTTGTCGTCATCTGGCCCTGTCTGGTGAGTCACCAAGACCTTCAGGTCACTGGAGAGCTTGTAGATCCGGTTGACAGCCCCCAAGTAAATGTGCCCTGTCCTCTCATCCACCACCAAGTGATTAAAGCCCTCAGCAGGCTCCCCTCGAAATGTGACAAAAGACCGCTTCTGGGACAGTGAGGGAGTCTGCCGGGGGAGCAGAGTGGAGGAGCCCATCCCCACCATGAGCAGGTGGGAGAGCAGACAAGTCCAGTTCCAAGGCATGGCTTTCATTTCAGAAGTGGGTCCTCGCAGCACAGAAGCACTCGGACACAGCTGTCCCCTCGGAAGGCCAGGATGCAGCAGGGCAGTCTCGCCTAGTAGAGAAAGAAAAGACTGAGATGTGGGAGAACCAGGGCAGGGCTCTATGGACCACCACAGTTTATCTGGTTGGACTCCACACATTCTGCATGCAAGGTACAGAAATGCCTCAGAGAAAGCTAAGGGCCAATGACCAGGCCCCCACCGTGGGTGTGGAAGATAGTTACAGCTGACTGGCAGCAGGCCCAGGAGGACACTTAGGCAATGATAATAGTACTGTGATAATAATAATGGTAGTTATGATGATCATCATGATAATGACCATCATCATGATAATAGTGATGATGATTGTGATGACAATGATGACGATAAGAAAAAAATGTGTGCCTACCGAGTGTGACACTGTATAGGTCACTGTCTGGCACCTTCTGAAAAATGTCTTTTCACCCTAGCAAGCCCTTTAGTGCTAGATATCTTCCATTTGCCCTGATCCATAGCCCACCTTCTCTGGGCCAGAAATGCTGTTCCCCATGGACTCTACCCCATTGGGGTCCCTGCTCTTGAGCTTCAGTAGAGGCCACCAGAGACAGCATCAGCAAAAGCCAAAGAGTAAGGAGACTCCACTGGCTGGAAGTCTCCCCCAAAGCTGGCCAGGGCAGGCCTCTCTGCACTGCTTCTCTGTCCCCAGGTTCTGTAGATGATCTCCTGCCAGGCCCTATCTAGCCCTAGGGGTGGTAGCAAGAGCTTCATTGAAACTGAATCCAAATACAGTACTGCCCCTGAAGGAACCACATTTTTATGAAGAGTACTTTTATTAACCTTTGCTCAATCTTGAACAAGTTATTTACTTCCTGCTAGAACCCTCAGTAGTGACCTTGGATGTGCCTATTGTTTTATCCCTTTTATAACTAAGGAATGCAGCTTGAGGAAGTTATGCAACTTGCCCAGCTGAAAGTGTCAAAGATGCACTCAAACCCGAGTAGTATACATCCATACTGGGTCCTCATTCTTAACTCTAAACTGTCTCAGTTAACCCTGACCTTGCAATAATGAGACTGCATAGTGCTTCCTGTCACCCATAGAAGAGCTAAAGCTGAGCCTTTTTCTCAGGGCTATCCATTACAGCTGCTACCTCTGGCCTGTGTCTGGACCTACAGCAGGGGGTCTTTTCCTTTGTACCTCCTCTGCCGCATGGTGTAGTGAACCCAAATTAAAAACTCACATCCTCCATCCTTTCCCATTGTGGCAGGCACCAGGCCCTTTGGGTACACTGCCCAGCTCCAAGCCCTCATGTCATTTTAACCAGGCAGATCCTAGCTGCTTCCTCCAGTGGGGACTCCTCTGATAGGGTTTCGTTAAAGGGAGAGAAAAAATGCTTTATGATGCCAGTGGTCAAATAAATAACTCCCTGCAGAACAAAATCACTGTCCATCCTAATGGTCTCCTTCATTTCTATTCGGGATGGTTTCTGCATGTGTTTCTAGTGGACAGCTTCATATTTCTTCCAGTTGCAAGATATTGGGGCAGAAATTGCTGATGACTTATTTGGGGGCTTCTCAGCTCTGTGAAATTTCTCTTCTCCCAAACTCCTCAAAACAAAGTGACAGGACTAAGTAGATCACAAGTAACAAAAAATCTCCCCAGCCAGGAGAAAGCACAAGGTTAGCTGGACACCCAGAGAAGAAGAAAGAAAACAAAATAAACACTTTGCATTGTCAGCCAAAATCCTAATGACAAATATGTCTCCTCAAACAGACATAAAGAGGAAGGAGGAAAACATCTTTAGGTTAAGACTCCCACAACCAACAGCAATCAGGCAAACTTAGGCATACACAACACATGCAAGACTTTGCAGGACCAAAGATGAGGCCCTCAAAGAACCTGTGGTCAAGTCAGGAAGAAAGCACCACAACCTTAATTAATGCTTATGGTGAGATGTTATGTGACACATGACAGAGTGTTTGGTGCATTCATGTGGGGGGAAAAGAAGCCTTCTAACTTGGGGTGAGGGAGCAAGGAGCAGGCTGTGGGGGGCCTTGAGGCTAGAATTTGAGCTGAGCCATAACCTCAGAGAGGACATGCAGAGCTGCAAGGGAAGGGCCTTCTTGTGTTGGGTTCCATACAGCGAAGGGAGCATATCAAAGCAGGGTGTAGACAAGGAAGAGTTATACCTAGAGAACACAGTTCACAAAACAATCAGGTGGATGATACAGCTGAAAAGAGCTAGCCATAAAGCTTGTCACAATGTCACTGGGAAGTCGAGGCTAAAATTCATAGGTTAGGCCCCCAGTGCCGAGGACCAGAGCTGTCCCCAGCACAGTGGAGGTGAACCTTCCAGGCCCCCCATACCACTGCCCCAAGGGCCAAGAAGGTGAGCTGCACAGGCCCCAGCAGCATATATCACTCCCGCTCCCCACCCCTCACTGAAATGAAAAGAAACATAAACAAGTCTCAAAACCAGACTTCAAGATCACCTAAGGTAACCCCAAAGGGAAAGAAGAAGGAAAAATCTGATACTCAACCACCTGGACTCCCTGAACTGGCAACAAAAGAGGATCTGGAAAAAATGAAATCAGAAACAATTTCTCAGATAACAGCAGAGATTGTGCCCATAGTGCAAGATATGATTAATAAATCTAGAGAGGATATAGAAAAAAAAATAGAAAAGCTGAGGGACATGATGGAATCCCAACATAGGAAACAAATAGAATCCATAAAACAGATACAAACAGATTTCCAGGAGATTAAAAACTCCCCCGAAAGTTTACACAGCAGAATGAGCCAATGTGAGCACAGAATTTCAGATATAGAAGATAAGATTGCAATTAGAGACCAAGAAAAGAAAAATTAATTTGAAATAGTAAGGGACCACAAGAACTCAATCCAGCAGCTGCTAGATGATGCAAAAAAGAATAACATCAGACTGATCAGAGTCAATGAAGAAACAGGAGAGAGTTCAGATGACATAAAAAAACTTTTCACAGAAGTGATGGCAGAAAACTTCCCAAGCAGGGGAAAAGAATTTGACATTCAGATAAGTGAGGCATATAGGACTCCAACTAACTTTGATCAAAAAATATCTACACACAGAGATATAATAATTAAGATCCAGAAACCCAACAGAAAAACAAAATTCTGCAAGCAGTTAGAGAAAAAGAACAAATCACATACAAATCAAAGCTCATCATAACTACAGCAGACTTCTCAATGCAAACCTTCAAAGCAAGAAGTGCTTAGAGTGAGTTGTTTCAAGCCAAGAAAGAAAACAGCCTCCATCCCAGATTGATGTACCCTGCAAAACTCTCTTTCAAAATTGATGGAGAAATAAGATACTCTCATGACAAGAGCGCCTTAGGAACTACATGAATACCAAACCAGCATCCAAAAAATTTTAGACAGTATCCTAGGAAAAAACAATGAGGATCACAACCCCAGGATGCACAGCAGAATGAATCCATCAGGCACAACAAGAAATTAAATGCAAAGTGGGAAAATCTAACAGAAAAAAAGTCATGACAATGATAAGTCAATAAGTATCAGTTAAAACCATCAATGTTAATGGTCTCAATTCACCAGCCAAAAGAAATAGACTAGCACAAGGGATCTAGAAGCAAAATCCAAACAATATGCTGCATACGAGAAACACACTTAATTCAAAAAGAAATTTGGACTGAAAGTTAAAGGGTGGAAAACAATACTCCATGTGACAGGAACCCGAAAAAAAGCAGGAGTAGCTATCCTCTTTGCAGATCAAGTGGATTTCAAACCAACTCTGATTTAGAGAGACAAAGAAGTACACTACATCCTTGTAAAGAGAACAATACAAGAGGAAGAGATGACAATCATAAACATACCTGCACTGAACATTAGTGCACACAACTATATAAAATAAATATTAACAGGGCCGGGGATTTAGCTCAGTGGTTTTGCCGCTGGCTGCGCAAGCGCAAGGACCCAAGTTCGATCCCTGGTACCAAAAAAATAAATAATTAATTAATTAATTAAATATTAACAGACATGAAAAACCAAATAAGTACTAATACAATAGTAGTGGGGGACCTCAAAACCCCACTGTCAAAAACAGATAGATCAACTAGACAAAAAATAAGCAACACAATATGAGAACTCAATCAAACTCTTGAACAAATGAACTTAATTGATGTTTACAGAGTATTCCACCCCACAAAATCAGAATACACATTCTTTTCAGCTGCACATGCATCATTCTCCAAAGTAGACCACATACTAGCACATAGAACATATTTAGGTAAGTGCAAAAGGATTAAAGTTATCCCCTGTATATTATCAGACTATAGTGCGATGAAATTGGAGATCAATAGCTAAAGAAACCACAAGAATTTCATAAACACATGGAAATGAAACAACACACTTCTGAATAACCAATGGGTCACAGAGGAAATTAAAGAAGAAATAAACAGTTCCCACAATTAAATGACAAAGACAATGCAACATATCAGAATCTATGGGACACAATGAAAGCAGTCTTACGAGAGAAATTTATAGCAGTGAATACTCATATTAGGAAAACAGAGCGAGCCCAATTAAACAACTTGATGCTGAGCCTCAAGCTTCTAGAAAAAGAAGAGCAGGACAAAGCCAAAGCTCATACAACGGAGGAAAGTATAAATAACAGAGCAGGAATCAATGCAATGGAGACTAAGAGAATGATACAATAATCAATGTATCCAAAATTAAAAATCAATGAAGCCAAGAGTTGGTTCTTTGAAAGAAAAAACAAAATTGATGAACCCTTAGCAAACCTTATCAGAAAAAGGAAAGAAAAGTCCCAAACCCATGCAATTAGGAATGAAAAGGATGAAATTACAATGGATCCAGCAGAAATCCAGAGGATCTTCAATACCTATTTCGAGAACCTATACACCAATAAGATGGAAAACACAGAAGAAATGGACAGATTCCTAGATAACTATGAATTACCAAAGTTGAACGAAGAAGATCTAAAAATTCCAAACAACCCAATATCAACCAATGAATTTCAAAATGTAATTAAAAACTTACCAACTAAGAAAAGCCT